ATCATGCATCTATCTTCTATGAAGAAAATCCTGCATCTTGGCTGTCGACATGGTCTCGTACAGCAGGCCTGGTAACAAGTCGTATCGCGACCCTAAATGAAATGGCTGCCAGTGGAAAGGCCGATAAATTGACAACTAATCTCGCATACAGCCTCTTTGGGAAGTTAGTCAATTACTCAGACATGTATCGAACAATGAAGTCTGTGGTTCTCAACCAAGACAAAGCCGTAGCTGAAGTGGAATTCCCTGCCGATATAGCCGGCACGTGGACGGTGCCTCCCCATTTCATCGATGGATGCGTATCTTTGTCTGGGTTTATCTTGAATGTGGGAACTCATTTCGACAACACCAAATACTTTTACATCACGCCATCGTGGAAATCCATGCGGCTTGCAAAGCCTCTCGCGCCTGGCGGCAAATACCTATCATGTGTCCGAATGGCCCCTGCTAATGACCGTGACTTTGTTGGCGATGTGTACATCCTTCAGGGGGACGAGATTATCGGTGCTGTTGAGGCTATTATGTTCAAACAATGGCCGCGGGTCATCCTGGACCGTTTTTTCCACCCTCCGAGTATCGAGGCGGCGTCTCAGGCATCCAATGCCTCTCACGTTGCCCCCCTTCTGCTTTCGTCAGACTAGAGTGCACCTATTGCCAAGACACAATCGGTTCAGCCATCACTCTTCAAGGATAGCTCTAAAATCGGTACAGGTCTGTTGACTCCTCCTTCGCCGCCGCAGAGCGTTCAACTACAAGACACTAATGATGAGCCGCTTCATTCGAACCTAACAACGCCGAATTCGGCCGCCCGTGCGTTCAAAATTATAGCTGAGGAGTTGGGCATCGATGTCCGACTGCTAAATGGCGATGCACAGATTACTGATTTCGGGCTAGATTCACTTATGTTTCTTGTTTTATCTCAGAGATTGTGTCAGGAACTCCAGATAGAAATTCGGGATGCGTTCTTTTTGGAAATATCAACTTTTGGAGATTTGAAAGCTTTGTTGGGATAATTTTACAATTTTAAATTTATTGGACTTTTGCATCAAAATTGATCTGAGAACAGATTCTAGACCTCAGTCGTTTGCAGTAAGTTGGCCACTATTGGTGCGACACAAGCGGCACTGCCAGACGAATAGACTATGAATGCAGTGTCTGGTGGTTGTTGAGGAATCTTTATATTGCTCTTGACGCTACCAGTCTTCAGAAACTCCGCATCAATGACAATTGTTGTAGGAAATAAGTTGCTGAACCATTGCTTTCCGTGGTTATCGACCAGAAGGGTCAGATTATCACACTCGTCAACAACTCCTTGAAAGCATATAAACTCTCGAGGAAGATCAGCAACAAAGAGATGCAATAGATATCGCCGAGCTCGATTTGTAATGGCGCTTGGAAATGGGCAGGAAACGAAAGGGACGCCCCAGATAGGGTGGGCGAATGTCAACCATCGAGGCTCGACGGAGCACCTTGTTTACATAGACAGGGAGCCGCAAAAGGTCAAAAATTTGCTCTCATACCATATAGATATAGTCGTAGTGGCCCGTGATGGTCAGATTGTAGAGCATGCGAATGAGAAAGCAGTACTATATCTGTTCACATCGACGCTAGTCATTGCTGGTTTCCCAGTGTACAAGTATATAACTGCCCAGTTGGTATCTGCCTCAACCACTGGTACGCACCCGACGGCGGAAATTTCGCTGCAAGAGACGGGACTGAGTAAGACAGCTGGCCATGGCCAGAAGACAATGTCCGAGAAAGATACGGTTGCCGAGCTGGAGACGAGCATCGACGGCGCGAAGGCAGACGAGTACCCGCATGGCTGACGGCTGGTCATCATCATCGCTGCCCTTTCTGCAGTGCCATGTACGGAGCTTTGGCCTAATTGTCTAGCTTCGGTAACAAAAAAGGTTCGGTTATGATATATTTCCATTTCGATACATCTATTGTATGCAATAATCGGGGACTTCCATAGCGCTTTTATAAGAGTCTCCCCCTACCACTCCATATTTCAAAATAAAATTGTACAATAGAGCTATTGCTGCTACTAGCAGTGTCTATATACTAAACTATAGCTTAATTTGAATGTCCAAGCTAGGTTCATTAAGTATAAGTATCATTTTAGTATAAGGTTGACGTGTATTGCGTTGTATAGGCATTCAAGTGTTCTTGCCTCGACGTTGATTTGAAAATAGGGGGCTGACGATTCGCTTGTTAAACACGATTTAGTAAGCACGAATATTACGCAGGCGCTCTCATGTCCAACCATTGCCATGGATGCACCAAAGCTCGCACGCAGACCTAATCCTAAAGTTAAGACTGGTTGCATTACATGCAAGTGTGTTGAAACACTTACCGCGACCGATTTTTGGTCGGTGTTCCTGTGGATGCGCTGACAGTAGATCCAGGAAACGTCGCGTCAAGTGTGATGAAAAACGACCCAAGTGTCTGAGGTATGTCTACTCTGTGCCTCGCACTGTATATATGCTTATGTGACTAGGTGCATAAAGACAGGTCGTATTTGCGATGGCTACGCTCAACTTGATCGGGACTACTTTGTCCAAGTGTTTAGCCATGCTCAGGCACGTTCAGGTCGCTTAGAGCGAACAGTACCTACAGTGTCTCTATACGGCGATAACGTACATTGTCTGGAGTTTTACTTCCACTGTGTGAGACCCATGCTGTCAGGCAGGTTCGATACCCAGTTCTGGTCGCGCATAGCACTACAGCTGGCGCACGCTGAGCCCAGTGTGCGCAACGCTCTTATCGCACTGAGTCATTTGAGTAAGTGCGAACCTGGCACTCTTGAACACGCTCGTCGATCTACGGCAACAAAAGACCCAAGCCAACTCAAGCCGTTCTGGTATTCCTATAATAACGCCGTCAAGTGTTTGGTTAACCGCATCGCTGAGCCCTCGTACACACCCGAAGTGGGTCTCGTGAGTTGTATTCTTTTTGTGTGCATCGAATTCCTGAGGACAGATTCGCACACAGCATTTACACATCTAAAGAATGGGCTAAGAATCGTATCCGAGTTACGGCGAGAACGGAGGACCGACCTAGGGACCCGGCAAGAGGGATCAGCTCAACATCGCTTCGGCGCATCCACGTCTATGATTGAAGAAGAACTCGTGCCAATATTGATCCAAGGTCTAATGTCGGCTCTCATGTACGGTGTGGATGTCGACACAGAATTTACGTTTCTGGAGCATCAACCGTCGTGCAATTATAAGCAACGCTTCTACGATATTCGCGAGGCTCTGTCTTCGTACTGGGATTTACGAAATGCGTCCGTCCTACTTGCACGAGATATGGCAATGAAACTGCACCAAGGCGTTCGACCAACAAAATCAGACCTCCAACGTCGAGACTATATTCTGCAGGACCATTGCACTTGGCTGCAAGCTTTGCTGGAGCTGGAAAGCTTCAGCAATGCTAGCACAGACGAAAGAGTGAGTTTCAGCGCGTTGAAACTCGCTTACTATTCGACCTATACCGCCTGCGCTTGCGTCACCGATACACATGAAATGTCATTCGATGCGCACCTCTCTACTTTTGAAGCACTTATCCTACACGCGAAAGTCATCGTCAAGTCCATGGGCATAACAAATGTTGCAGATCCACTTAGATCCCGTAAAGATGCCGTAGCTAACTTTACTTTTGATACTGCCCTGATTCCTGCGCTGTATCACACCGCCTTGCACTGCCGCTGCCCTACAACCCGCCGCGAAGCCGTCACTTTGCTCTCACTGAACATACCTCGCGAAGGCCTCTGGGACGCACAGCAACACTGCATTGTAGCTAAGCGGGTTATCGAAATCGAGGAGATGGAAGTCGATGAGCGCGGCTGGCCAACTGAACAGGCAAGGCTTTCGAGTAGCATTGTTGGCCTAGATCTAGATAAAGATGGTATGTTCCGAGCTGACTTCCTGTTCGCGAAGGATCTTGGAGCTAGGACCGACAAAGGCTGGAGTGAGAGGTTTGCGCTGGCGGAGGACCAAGTATGACTACCAAACTGAAACTATTTTACCCAGAGTGTTGAAAGCCCGAAGTATACGTTTTCTATGGTAGTGGCGTATGATGTATTACCTGGTGCTCGCTCGAAATGAAAGCCTTTATTAGTTGTTTGTAATCTCCTGTCTCGTTGTCGGGTAATGTAGCAGAACGCCTGTCTCTGATGGATCTTATACCAGTTCCGTGCTTAGAACTAGATACCTTCGCGCATCAACTATATTAGGGTTAAGACTATTAAGTGCCTAGGAAATTATTACATTAGTGTATATATTAGAGGGTCTCAAGCACAAGCTCCACGCCGCCTAGCCTGCGACGCTCGGCAGAACCAGCGCGCTGGTGTCTTGTTTGTGAATACGGTTGAAGCAGTATGGACATGTTCCGTCGCTTTGGGCTGGCTTCACGCGAGGGTATAGGGGGAGAGATGGTGAAGGGTCTGCTATCGCCATTCATGGGGGGCTGCCCACACGCAGGCAATCATCAATGATAGCATTCATACGTATCAGCTGAAAAGGAGTGGCACCTTCTCCATCATGCGAGGATTCTTGACCATGCAGTCCCATCATCAGAGCTTCAGGGAGCATGCGCTAGAAACACTAGAGACAGAAATTAGTGTAGAGGCCGAAGAGCAATGTAAAGTACACAGCCACACAGCTGAGCCACCTCGCGTCCAGTATCCAAATACCAACTTTGTAACCGGCTCACAGGGAGGCTAACCTTCTTATCAACTACCGGGCAGGAGTAACTTGGTCCTGGAAGAAGGTTGATTCAGTATCAGATTTCCTCTGAACTCATTCAAACATCGTTGCTTACAGAGTCTTCCAGCGCAAGCTCTGATTAGATTGTGAACACAACGAAGGCCTGAACAACACTACTCGATATTGCCAATTCTCTAATCTTTTCTTTCCGCCAAGACATTTGAGAATCCTGGCCTCTTGTTGCGTACTTAAATCACAATCCAGCAATTCATTCCATCAAAAAATCATCAAGCATCGGTGGTTTAGTGGTAAAATTAGCCGTTGCCATTCGCAAGAATAGACTCGGCTAGCCCCGGGTTCGATTCCCGGCCGATGCATTTTTGCCAATTGAGAGGATAGAGGGTTGGTGGTGGATTGGGATCGTTTTTTGGCGTGTGCAAGGGGGCGGGTGTTGTGGGTCACGTGATGCGGACGGGTAAAGCGGCACTTTCTCGCCTGTTCCCAGTGCGGGCTCAGATCAGAGGAAGCTAGCTGTAATTTGAGTTTTCTTCTGGGGAAAGCAAGGGAGCACGGTTTTGACGAGCGCTCAGAACCTTGGTTGAGTATCTGGCTAAGCCGTTTTCAGCTCAGGCGTCTCTCGTCTCTTTGGCACGGAGCCTTGGAGGGCTGGCTCTTTGGCGGGTAACATTAGTAGCGTGCGTATCAAGGCGTTTTTTCAATTTGAGAGTTCGCTTCACCTGGACTCCTCGGTGTCGAGGGATCGGATGGATGAATGCTCAGATTGGGTGGGTCTGACTTGGCTTTTGCTTACGGTGCTTGTCTACGATGATTAATTAAGATCATTAAACTGTTTTGTGGGAACGATCCTGCAGACAGAACAGTCCCATGAAGACGGTCCGTTGTTATGTGGATTCTTTAGCGCAGTCAAATCTCGAGCGCGTCAAGGGCGATTCCCGACATGAAAAACCCAGTGCTCATCACGAGAAGCTGCCATGCCTAACGATACAACGAAGTATACAGTGGTTCCTCCGCATCGGCAATCGGTGCATACCCAGGGATTACAAGTTTCAGATACAATGCGCCGAAGGTAGCCTGGAACCCCCAACTGAGCAGTTTCTCACCGGATTAATGTAAATCAGGACCGATCGCACACGACTGATAGCAGATTTGTTCCGTCATATTTGAGAAGTCCTCAAAATAGTGGGTGGGGAAATTGCTATCCGACGCTTTGTCGATCGGTGACACCAAATCTGAAACGATCGTGCATACCAGCCGGCACAGTGTGGGGACGGGTACCACAGATGCTGACCTGTCGGTTCAAAGGTTGGTTCGTAACCGCAGAACGGCTTACGTGTTCTCGAGCGTGACGTCAACGTGTGACAATGTGAGAGTGGGAATGACGAAGACCAAAACTATAAACCGTGTTTGACTGCTCGTAGAGCACCGTGTCAGCCAGAAGAGTGGCCTGCAATCGTATTCATCATGATGGTAAAGCTAACAGTGGAGCTAATTCGCGTCATGAATAACAGCCCCCGCCTCATGCCGAATGACCATACGAAGTTACTGAAGCGTGACCAAAGTAAATGTTCGGGGCTAAAGCAAACTCACGAAGTGTATCATCAGGTGCAAGAGTGAGTCTCCAATCGGTACACCTGGTGCTTGCATTATGAGTGGTACAGGACTTGGTAAAACATTAGGCAGCGCCTAGGCTACTCTCAGAAAGAGCCAGTCGGATAGCGTTAAGCCTGTTGAGCATTTCCCGTGTTAGGCCAACAACGGGTAACCTTGATAGCTTCGGCAATTCCTGTTGGTTGTAAAGTTGGCTGCTGGATACGTTGAGAGGTGTGAAACACCCGAGTGCCTGGTCTACATGGCAGTTCGCCTGGTCGGATGTGGTCTGCGGGGAAACGGATTGTTGCGGAAGGATTATCATGGGTAGACGAATCCAGGTTTGCGGTGCATGTCCACGATCCCGCAGGTGGCGGCTGAACAGTGATCATCGATCGCACTACAACTAGTATACCATTCCAACTGGAGTTTGGGTGGTGGAGCTTATGTGATTGAAGCCGACGCTGTCTTTCCCGTCTTGAGTGTTTGGCTGCGTGATGTTCAACAGAGCCGCCACAAAGGCCTCGTTTGACGGGTCTGGCCTATTCTAGACAACGATTGAATCAATGTGGGGTACAGATTGTGGGCGGGTCAAGCCGCCCAGAGTCGCTGATTGGCAGATAGTTTCAAAATTACTCATCGCAGGACTGTTGAGGATGACCCAGATCGCTAGACGCGTCACGGCCAACCGCGGCTCTTGATCTGGAGACTCTGTGTACCACTAAGGACTACCGGCGACATCCAACACCGTCATGGCTTTGGCAATGTAAGAGTCTCTCAGATCATGGAAAGGCGGGATGCTCTAAAGCCGGTGTTCTCAGCTGGGGCGTAGTGTTGCCACCGATGCCAAGCGTGAAAGACTCAATGCGCACCGTGGTGGACAGTCGACTAGGCCAGAGCATGTTGGTACATGTTCTGGTCTGTGAAAGTGTGAGATGCGAGTACTACAGAGATCGATGAGCAGTAACCGATATCCGCCAAATGGTCACAAAAGTTGTGTTGTCGTAATCGAGGTAGGCGCAGAGGGTAAACCTGTGAGCAGATGGCGTCTAGATCCCGCAGGAGTGGTTCGTCGCGGTCAATTGTTCGGTCCTGCGTCCCACCAGCCTGGGCTATGCGAAAAGTTAATCGTGGGTGTAATGGAACCGCCAATGAGCGGGCAGGCTGGACCAAATGGCCGCGACAGCCGACAGACGATGGCTATGCTGGTTGCCAGAGATGGTGGTAACTTGTGTCTGGGTAAAGCACGTGCAATTAATGTGATAGGACCACGGTGAATGTCCATGTGTCTCGAAGCGGTAAGCGATTCTCATGTTTTTGCCCCCATGATTCGCTGATTGGCCGCAATTGCCTAAAATAGCCGTCGTGCCTTCCTCGCAGTCGCGTCATCCCGGCGTATCCTGCACGAAAAGCGGGGCGCGGTAGGCAGTGGTGCAACGCCGACAGCAAAACCGTCTTGGGGGTGTGTGAGAGGGATCAACGACAACAAAAGCAGGCTGGCTAGCGCTCAGTCGACTGGAGCGTGCAATCAAAGGGAAATGAAGTCGAGCAGAGCGCAGAGGTCTGCCAAACGCATGTCATCTCGCTCGCTCAGCCTGTCATGGCTTTCCCCACGCCTTGGCACGGCTCCTAATCCCCGCCCGGTCATAAATTCTTCTTGGTGTGCATCTGCACAGATCGTGCGGAAGGCCCGGTGTTGTGCCGCGGACCCTGTGGGCTTGCTGCAATGCATGCGCGACGACGGGACTGTCAGCCGTGGATGAGGTTATCTCGTCTTCAAATGAGCAAAGGACGGCCGACCTGTCTGCAAAGAGCGGGGTACATTCATGTCGGTGAGCTTCAAAATCACAGGCATGACCATCTGGCGTCCTTATCGCATGCACAACAGCGGTGTCATCCCTGCACATATCCTCAGGCCACAGTGTCCGCCGCCGTCGTGATGCTGCATCTTTTGCCCACCGCTCTTCACCAACGGCTGCAAACGCTGAGCCGCAGATGTGGGTTCCGCCGCATCCATGGTGCGGATTGGCTCCTGTGCACCCCCTCCAGAGGCAGGATTCGTAATATCGTCCTTGTTTACCAGATCGCGTCGCATATGCTCGGCCTGAACGCGTCAAACAACGCTTCCATTCGCGGATTTCACACGGCAATGCACTCTCGTCTCTGCGCCGAGCCCACACAGACGTTGCTGAGCGCACAATTTGCATGCTGTGCTCGCCTCCAAAACGCTATCCTTTTGTTTCATGGACCCTGGAATGCGGGCGAGCATGTGTTTGCGTCGCCTCGGAATCCTCGTTGCTCGGAAGCGGACCGCCGCCGGAATGAGCGCGAGGACTCCAAGCGGTGACGCTTGAGCATCGTCTTCTGTCGTGCCCCCGTTGCCATGCATTGGGATGATTTTGCACGGCAACAGGTCAGGGTCGCAATGTCCCAGGATCAGTGGGTACGTGGATGCTGTTCCTGCGAGGGCCATGAGGGTACCTCTGGCATTCAAGCACGTCTCCAGCCTCTGAATGCGTCATTGTGTATACAAGTCGTGATTTGAAATCGGCTTCTTGTCTCTACAATGCCTCTCTTGTTGCATTGTACGTGATGGGGCACCACGACAGGTGCAAAGTTGGCAGCCGTAGTTGAGCTATAGCAGGGGAGTGTTGGCGCTTTGCTATATCGATTGCGCCCCGAGCACCACTATCAGCCAGGGTGGGGACTAGGATCAGGAGTGAAGCTGGCCACAATGCCGTAACCGTCGACCTTTTTCGAGAGGCTGCGGGCGGAAGAAATGTTACTGGCGATCGGCACGTTGGCGTGATGCGACCCTCCAGGGCTCAGGGTGGGCCGTGAGAACAGAAGACCAGCGCGCATCAGCAGGCTTCACTGCAGGCAACAGAGCGATTCGGACGCAATCGCAAGAGCATTAGCTGCTACATGAGCGAGTTGAACATCCTCTCCCGTGACTCCCGGCTCCATGTTGGCGTGACAAAGTTATTTGAATCTCCTGGCGGCCTTCGTAAGCACGGACCCACGCTAAGGCTGCCCCTTCTCCTTCTTTCGCCAGAACAACCTCAGTACCAACTCCTCACCGTGAACGACGCCATACTCTCCCTCTATTATTTTCTTTCTGCTTGCTTGTTGAATCGTTCGTCGTTCCCAGCGCCACCAGGTCGACTTTAGGAAATCGTTCAATGCAGGCTTGAACGTCTGCTCGGGAGGCTTGGTACACGCTGCCATCTCCGTCGATTCACGACAGCCTTCCAAGCGTTCGACGACATCGTCGCCTTCTATTCACTGTTTTAATAGTTGCTTTGTTTTTCTTGTCATAGCAGGTACATCTCCCTCCACAACCCATCGCGAACCTGTCAGCCCAGCAAAAAGGGCGTATCTCTGCAACGCCCCATCCCTTCAGTCGGCGCCCTCCTGGTCCGGCTTCGAACGGCCGACACGCCGTCACGAGCTGCCCATCTCCATCATCTCATGTTCGCGTCTCCCTTTGCCAGAGCTACAATACTAATGCTGCCACCGCCTTCAGATTTTAGCTTTCCTGTCTGTGTCGCCGCCTCTGCCGCCGACCATTACGAGCCCAATCGACCGAGCAACTGATCGCCGTACCGTCGAGGGTCCAGATGGCTCAGGTACTCGCACCGATCGTTCAGACGTCTAGTTCCATTACGATGCCATATTCCTCTTCCGATGCCTACCAAAGCCCGCCTACGCAATCTCAGCAGCGAGGCCCGCAGATGCCACGAAACCAGTTGTACAATGGCAGCTCTGG